TCATGCTCATTGCTTCAGTGATGCTATCTAACCATCTCATCCTCTGCCGTCCTCTTCTCCCAAGGAGAAAACCACACTCCTACCAACACTGGCAGGGCAAGCGACTGTGTATAAATGGGGAGCAAACCCCACACTCCCTCACACTGATGATGTTACCTAGTTAGGTAATGAGATGTCTGCAAGCCAACAACCAAGCTCAGAGCACCAAGGACTCCACAGTTCAACCCTGAGCTACAGAGATTCTCTTCTCTTGGAGCCATTAATTTGTTCAAGGTGCAGTAAAATGTTGCTATTTTCCATTTCAGATTAAGAACCACTTCTCTGTCCCATTTATAATCTACAAACTTGTTAGGAATATTAAACAGCTGAAGCCTATAGGCGTGTCTATGCCGGAAGAGGAATTTCACGTTCCATTAGATTCATACAGGTAAATATTTCATTCATTCAGGTACTTAAGCAATTTTATTTTTTGTGAAGTATTCCAATGCTTTTGGCTTTTTTTCAATGCCTTCTGTTTTTTCTGTGATTGGGTTATTAGATGTCAACTGTTTGTTCAGCCAGCGGGGATCTTAAAAGGCCAGTTTGAGCCATCCACGACCTACATATCTTGGCAAGAAGAGCTGCATAGGAGTAGTGAAGTTAAATGTTTGCTTCGTTGCCCAGCCACCGAAGCCAATTTCCTGCCACTAACACTGAAAGCCACTGCTGTGCCCGACGAGCTGAACTTCATTGCAACTCACGAGGACAACTGGGAGCCAGCCTACCTTATTCATTTCTATCCCACGCTTACTCTGCGGAATCTCCTGCCTTACTCCTTGCGATACCTGCTTGAGGTATGTTAGCAGGCAGGGGCTGCGATGGAACTCGAAAAGGCCCAGGGGATTCCGGTATTCAATCAATTCCTTCCTCTTTTTTATTTTGGCAACACATCAAAGTTTGTCATTCTTCCACAGATCGTTGCTTATTGATATTTTAATTTTGCCCTAAATGCCTTTAGCACTCTCCATCCTTTTGTCTGGGAAATGAACAGGGTTATGATTTTTACAAGCATTTTAAAAATGTCTTCTTACGGTGATGAATTGGAGAGCATATTAACTTCCTTTTAAAAAAAAAAAAAAAAAAGCCCCATGTTCAGTATATTCAAGGATAAAATTAGTACCTCTGGCTGTCTGGGTTGGTGAGCAAGAGGGAATTAATGGGCAGTTGTGCCCGAGGCAATGGTAGAGCATCTGGTTGAACTGGAGCATCTCAGCTACGATCTCTGCCACATTCCTGAAGTTGTACTATGATGGATGATGCCCTGCTTCCAATTTTCTGTCACTGTTTGTTTTTCATACTTAGCCTGGAAAAATTACGATCATTTTTACTTCCATACAGTAGTAAATAGATAGTGTCTTCAAGGTGTGTTTTTATCATATTTAATTTTTCTTTGCAAACATCAAGGGGTTTAATTTTGTCTCAGTGTCCCAAGAAGTGCTCCAGTCCCTGCCAGCGCTGCCTGTATGTCTTCTCAGACTCTTACAGTTTTTATTGCCGTTCTTAGGGAACAGCAGAGGCCCACGAGCTACAAGAAGGAAGCACTGCCGATGTTCTTCACTCCAGAATCGATGGGGAAATCATGGAGCTGGTCCTGATAAAATATCAGGGTAAAAACTGGAACGGGCACTTTCGTATCTGTGACACACTGCCAGAATTTTTCCCAATATGCTTCACGTCGCATTCGGCAGACATAGCTACAGTGGACATATATATTCATGTCAGGAAAGTCAGCACCCACATGATCCTCTCTGTGTATAGTCCTTACTGGATCATCAATAAGACTTCCCGTGTTCTCCAGTACCGCGCTGAGGATATTCATGTAAAACACCCGGCAGACTTTCGGGACATCGTCTTATTCTCCTTCAAGAGGAAAAATATTTTCAGTAAAAACAAGGTATGATGTCAAGCTTCTGTTTAACTTGCCTAAAGAAGTAAGCTATGGAACTTTGGTGATTTTTATTAATAGCGTATTTTGCAGTTTGGAAAGGTTGTGCTCAACCTGCTTATAAAAATTGCCTGTTTTATTTGGCTAATAGCCCACTGTTTTTGAGGAAGCTAAAATATATTTCATCAGCTTGGTATTGATTTGCCCACTAGATTATGCTGGACTAAATGTTTCCTCATTAATTTTATAGCTTTATTTTTTTATTTGTTTTTACTGATTTGCACTTTATTGCAGATTTCCCATCATTTTTCTTAATTGGAAATGAGCAATTTGAATGGATCTCAATTTTCTCTGTTTATCCCTGCAGCTATCCAAGTATGGATCATTCTCTCTCTCTCTCTCTCTCTTAACGTTGCCACCTCAGCAGTGAATTAAAATTTTTGTCTCTAGCTTTTCAGGTGGTCAAGAAAGTGTGAGATCTGATTTCTTGCAGTTTTCTACACTTACCTTCCTAACGCTACTGTCACCACTTGTGGCCTATTGCTGGAAACCTGAGGCATAATTGCCGCTTCTTGACATTAGGGGCGGACATTACTGATCTTCAGAAACAAACTCGTGGCTTGTTTTCTGTGCTCCAAATCACTTTGTCCTCCCTTTCACTCTAGATCCAGCTGTGTGTCTCAACTAGCATGTGGTCGAACAGTTTCTCCCTGGATACAGTAGGAAACTCTGGATGTGTGAAGTGCCCAGCCAGCAACATGGATTTTCTGGTAACGCTTGACTTCCACACTTGCTTCCTGCCTTGACTAATTGCTGTTGTTTGTTCCAGGTGTAGGGAACAAAACCCAATTTGTACATCAGTCTCATTTACTCTGTTTTTGTTTTTTTTCCCCATACTGTTCTGCTGTCAGTAGATGGAATGAGATGGTTCTTGGTCAGAGGAATCAGACTCCCTCTTCCCGGTAGTGCCCAAACCAAAGCCTTCCCTTAGAACAGCACGAGCTAAAAATGTTCTGAACCATGTTAAAATACACACAATGCCGAGTCTTCTTGAAATATAAACCGTAGTATCATTCTGCAGGTTGGCGTTACTATTAAGATGAGCAGCTTCAATCTCACTCGGATAGTCACTCTGACTCCATTCTATACCGTAACAAACATGTCTTCTTTGGAGCTGGAATTCGGAGAAATGGGAGTTGATGGCTCGTTTCCTACTAATAAATGGAGTTATTTCTCACCCTCAGAGGTAATATTTTAAGGCTGAGTTTGTCAGTTAAGCTGGCTTGCTCTTAACGTCAAGCTTTCTGAAACAAAAGGCTTATTTTTAATTCATCTGAATATTAGAGTTTTTAGTTGTAAACATGGTTGCAGTGTTAGCAGTCCAGTGGCCAGCAGGTATGACTTGGAAGGAGTTCTGTCGTTAAGAATGATCATTACTCGTTACTGCTCCCTGATTTAAACATGCAGTGCTGGTTGGGACATTAAAGCAGCACATTCAGCTCAAGATCTAAGTGGTAATAATTGTAGTGATCACCCAACTTCATAACCTCCATGTACAGCTGACGTGGGATTTTGGGAGTTGTATTCCCAGAATACCTAGAGGGCACCAGGTTGGAGGACATGCCAACTCCAACTTCTTACAAGAAATTAATAAAAACAATTGGTGTACTTATTTATCTACCCCTCAAAACTGATCCCTGTTTTCGGTTAGTGTGTTGCGTTTTGGCCTGAAAATTCGTCTGGCAAGCTGTGTATCAGAGTGATTGGCTCCAACCAGTTTTCCAAACCGTTCTTCTACAATCGACAGGACAATGGGACATTGCTGAGCCTGGAAGAATTGGTGAGATTGCAGATACGTTTGTTATTTTCTTTTAAGGCACTGAAAGCGATCTGGGGTCCTTGTTGAAGCCTGGCAGCTCACGGCTTCCTGATCTTGTTGGTGGTAGTCATTTGTCCCCTTCACCTGGCCAACAGCGGCGGCGGCAGGTGGCTTCCTGCCACCTTTAGAGCTGCCGTGAAACTGCCAAAATGCTGTGGGCATCAAGGCGTGGTTGTTTCTAGAGCAGCACTTCTGTTCCTTCCAACAGAATACCGGTATCCTGGTGGATGTCAGCTTGGCTGAGCATTCCACAGTTATAAACTTCTCTGATTATTATGAGGGGGCCGCACCTGCTTTGATCATTAATCATACTTCCTGGGGGACTCTTAAATATCAGCAGAGGTAGGTGAGACTGCATCCATTTCTTTAGAGAGAGGCTTTGTTACTGTCTTCAGTTGTCGACCATGGGCTCATAAGAAAGATTCTGTGCAGCTGTATGAATGTTGCGTTTGTGTTTTTTAATCCATGCAGAGGCGTGCAGGCAGCGATGGAACTGAAGCCGAGGGAAGTTAGATTGTTCGTTTGGGCAGATCCTACAGAGATAAGAAAGTTAAGCTGGGAATATGCGCAAAACACTGGTGAACTCAATCTCCTTAAGGTATTCTATATCTCAAAAAACCCTATCAATGTAGCATTTCCACAACTGTGCTTAACTTACAGCAGCCTCAGTCTCTGTATGCGCTTTTCTCGTCTTTCAGATAAGATCTTTTTTGAATCTTCTTTTTGGGGCCCATTGGAAATAGGATTTAATTTCTGACCCCTGGAGCCTCACGGTCAACGTATTCATTTAGGCAGCTCATTACTGTAGAGCCTAGCAACCCCCCTACAGCAGTATTTAAGTTATGTTATTCCATTCATTTCCCTTGCTAATCATCCAGTGACTATTTTTAAAGCTAAATTAACTATTTTAGTGAAACAGTATCCAGAAGTTTACATTTTGCTGATTACCGCCTCAGCCTGGTTTCTTCTTTCCTGCCAATTCAGGATGAATGTGGACAGTTTTCCTACAACGCCAACACTCCGATACATTGGGTCTCCTTCTTGGACGGACGGCAGAGGGTCCTGCTTTTCACAGAGGATGTTGCTTTGGTGTCCAGAGCAAGGCAAGCAGAAGAGATGGAGCAGCCTGACCAAGAAATAAGCGTTGCTCTTCACGGCCTTGGGCTGTCGCTGGTCAACAACAAACGGAAACAGGAGATCTCTTATATCGGGATCACTAGGTAACCTCAGTCGGCCGGAGGCTGCTGGCGCCTTTTGGTGCAAAGATTAGTTAGTCAAATGCCCATTTCTGATTCCTTTAGTATAAAGAAGGCTGCTAAAGATAGGTTTGGAAGGTTTTTCTTTGACTCTTAAGGGCATACAATTGCACTGCTGAGAAACAACAGTATCAGTCTTTTAGAAATTAAACAATTAAGACTTTCCAGGCAGTTATTTTGTGAAACTTCAGTTAGTGACATGCAGCGTATTTTCTTATAAGGGTTTAGCTTCTTGTTTCCTTTTTTTCTTGCAGTTCAGGCATTATCTGGGAATCAAAACCTAAGCAGCGGTGGAAGCCATTTAGTCAGAAGGACATCAACCTCTTGGAACAGTCTTATCAAAAGCACATCTTTGAACAAGGCACAGAGACTTCTGGCTGGGTTAAAATCAACAACAATTTTGAGGTACGCTGGAGCCGCAGAGGAAGGTCAAACCATCCAAGTGGCAGATATGCAGCAGAGCCTCAGGCGCTTGATAAAGCATCTTTATAAATATGAGCTCCCTTCCAGAAGCGAGGACACCTCCAACCAATTATGGAATCCGTGGCAGGTCATTGGAGTACGAAGCTGAAGGGCCAAATGTGACAAACTAGAGTAGAGGTTCAGGTGAAGAAGAAATTGGATGTGTAGTCTGAGAACCAGAGAAGCCCAGAATCTGCCCCCAGAACTATGTCTGGGGTTTAGAAGAGTCCCAAAGCTGTGAGTTGCTCCTGTTGCTCAGTACTAGCATTTCACTGCCATCTGGAGGACTCAGAGCGTGGACCTCTGCATGTGCACAGGGCCCCTTTGTATGCAAGTGAGGTGTGTCGGGGCATGGCTAAACTGAACTGTTTTTCTCTGTTTTAGAAAAATGACCATTTTGATTCGATAGGAAGATTCGCTTTTTTAAAGGGGACAGGCCCCAAGTCGGGATGTTTTAGATACTGGACAATCAGTAGCCTATTTCAGTATTTAAAGCATAGGGAATTAAGGTTCATTAAGAGGACTGACCCAGTAGCAGTAGAACCAAGATGACTTAAGTTTGCCTCTGAGCTCCTGAATAGGACCTGGGTTGGGCACTGAAGAAATAGGGTGGGTGGCAAAATGAGCCACAGCTAGGTTAATCAGGGTGTAGTTCTAAGCGGGACAAGGGCAATCTGCCCCCTTTGTTGCTGTTGTTGCTCTGCCTATCCGCTGTGGTGTTTGCCACTCGAATAATGCAGCACTGGGAGACAGTTCAGAGGAAGGAGATTTTCAGTGGGTTTCCTCACTGTTTCTTTGCTTGCAAAAAAAGAAGCGGGCTGGGGGAGAATCTCATTTTGGGCTGAAATATGTGAAATGGAGGGGCAATGCATAATAAGAGTTATGTATCTGTTTTCTCTGCGTTCAGGTAAACTTTGATAAGGTGCCTATGGAAATGCGCCTTCCATCGAAATGCTTTATCAAGCGAGACTTTCTGTCGGGCATCCAAATTGAATTCAAACAGTCACCGCATCAAAAGAGTTTACGGGCTCAGTTATATTGGCTCCAGGTATGACCCTTTATGTTTCTTAGGTTTTAGAGAACCGTAGCAAATCTCTCCCTGGACTCCTTAAAGATGATCACCGTAAGTTCTGCCAAAGTCCTGTATCACTATATTTATCCAGGGTCGACGCCTAGAAATTTACTTGATGATGTTCCTGAAAAAGTAAGGACTAAAAAAATGTCACAACTGTATTTTGTAGAAACATAGATGTCACAATTTTCCTCTAAGCAAATCCTCTAAGATTTGCCCCTTACTCTGGTATCACACATCTAATATATTTCTAGTTTGTTGACTTTTTGTTAAATAGATGCTGACACGCTTTAGCCTGCAGGGTTACATGTTTAGAAATAACTTCTAAACTGGCAGACTGGGTTAATATTCTCTGTAGATCACTGTTCTCCTCCCTCGCAGGTGGATAACCAACTCCCAGGTTCCATGTTCCCTGTGGTATTTCATCCTGTGGCTCCTCCCAAATCCATTGCGCTGGATTCAGGTAAGAGGCATCTAGAAATGATAAAACACCAACCAACTAGCCGAACCAGGCAAAACTGGCGTTCGAGTCATCTCTTTTTTTTTTCATAGAACCAAAACCATTCATTGATGTCAGCATCATCATTAGATTTAATGAATACAGTAAAGTGTTGCAGTTCAAGTAAGTAAATTATATTCAGAAATGTCTGAAACATAAATCATATCTGTCTGGTTCCAAACTAAATAATGACATATTCTTAATATTCAGAGAAAAGGTAAAACAGTCCAGTGATTCCATGTTCGTAGCTTTTGGCATAATGTTCAAAGATGATTTCCTCCACAATTCTCTCTAGAAGATGAGAAATTTGGTGTCTAATCATAGCCAGTGGGTTCTCACAGAGTAAATCTGTGGGTGGGTGG